CATACGTTTTGCGCTGGGCCCGCCCTTATAATGTGCGGATTGGTTTAGGCGATTTTCGAGGATTTTTGTCGGCGTCTAAAAACGAATCTGAAAAACGAGTGTTTTTGGGGTAGACCCACAAGCCCAAGCCTGAAGATCAAAAGCCGGCCCCAAACATGCCAGAAGGCGCACCCCCAGAAGCAGCGCGCCTCCGCCAGCATCCTTGGAGAGCCTTGCTCCAAAGGACCAAGGTGCCCAGTTGGCCGCAGCCAGATTTACACACTGACGCAACACAGCCGGCCATCTTTCGATGTAATTCTTGTGAGTTCCCAGGAGTTGAGCTTCACTTTCTTTGCATGTCTTGCCTGCATGTCCGGCAGTCTCCCGGCATTTCCCTCCACTTCCTTTCGCTTCATTTCCGTTTCAGCTCCTTTCCTTGAACGCCCCTTCACTCGCACTCCCTTGTTCTTTTGAGTGCCCGTGACTTCAACCTCGCCATTTCACGTCAGTTTCCTGCACATCCCTTCATTTCTTTCCAGTCTCTCTGCGTTGCCCCAATGTCCAACAATTTCTTTTCGGTCCTGTCCTCCGGTTCTTTTCGCGTTCTGCCCTTGCATTTTCCTGCATTTTCGTTTCTCCCCAGCACCCTCTTCATCTTCGTGCAATTCCTTCCACTTCCATTTCTTCGTTGTCTGCAACTCTTAGCCCCTTGTTTCGCATCGCCAGCACGCGTAGCATCATCCGCATCATCCGGGATGATGCTGGCAATGCCGGGGGTGTTGTCTGATGCAGATGATGCTGGGGATGCTGGGGATGCCGGCCTTTGCTGATGAAATCTCAAAGTCTGAAAGTCTGAGAAAATAGAATCATGAAATCTTACAATTTTACAATCTTAGAACACTTAATCTTTAACTCCTCAAATTTTAGAATCTTAAGCGCTTAACCTCGAAAAACCATAAACTAGTACAATCTTAAATTCTTGAAAGCTTAATTTCTTACAATCTAAAAAGCTGCAAACCTGCAGAAATAGAAACATAGTCGAATCTTAAGATCTTAAAATCGTAAGACCGTTGAGTTTTAACATCTTAAAAACTTGAAACTTAGAATTACAACCTTAAACCCTTGAAACTTTAAAATCTTAAAGCCGTAGAATGTTTATTTATTCTCTATACGGGTACATCTTATGTGGAATTCAGCGTCGCGCTGCTGCCACGGCCCGGTGCGCGCCAGCAACGTAAATCCGGCCGCGGCCTGCGAAGCGGGCCGAACGGCTGTGTCGGAATACCACCTTGGTCCTTTGGAGCGAGGCTCTAGAGCGAAGCTCTATGGGGCTGCCGGAATGCTCCGCCGACCCTGTGCATGCCGAGGATGCGTGAAAAGGAAAGTGATGAGCAGCACCTGCATCATCTGCTTCTGGCGGGTGCGTGTTTGGGCTTGTTTTTGGGTCCGGTTCTGGGTCTGCAGCCTTGGGCTTGCAAGTCTGCGGTCTTGCCGCGGTGATGCGGGTGATGCTGGTGATGCTGGGAATGTTGCTGGGGGCTGCCTTCCACATGGCGTCCTGCTGCAGCATTGAAACACTGGAAAAACAAGCGAAAATGCAGAACTTGTACTGCAAAAAGCTGAGGACAACGTTTGGTTTTGACATGCGTTTTGCGTGGCAATTGGCCCAGGCGCGCGTACGTGTGCGTGCAGGCGCGCGGGCCTGCGCGCGTGCGTGCGTGCGCGCATGAGTGCGTGCTTACGTGCATGCGTGTGCGTGCATGCGTGCGTGTGCGCAGGCGCCTGCGTGCGTGCGTGGGCGCCCGCCAGCAAGCCGCCTGCGTGCGTGCGTGCGTGCGTGCGCGCGCGCGCGTGAGGTGCGTGCGCGCTTGTGTGCGTGCGTGCGTGGGTGGGTGTGTGTGTGTGTGTAGGGTGCGTGCGTGCGTGCGAGCGCGAGCGTGTGCGCGTGTGTGTGTGTGGGGTGCGGGCGAGCGTGCGTGCTTGCGCGCGTGCGTGCAAGCGCGTGCACGCGCGCGCGCGTGGGTGTGTGCGTGTGTGTGTGTGTGTGTGTGGGGGTGCGTGCGTGCGTGCGTGCGTGCGCGCGAGCGCGTGCGCATGTGCGTGTGCGCGTGTGCGCGGGTGTGTGCGTGTGCGTGTGTGCGCGTGTGCACGGGTGTGCGCGTGTGTGCGGGTGTGCGCGTGTGCGCGTGTGCGCGTGCGCGCGCGTGCGCGTGTGCGCGTGTGCGTGCGCGCGGGTGCGTGCGCGCGGGTGCGTGCGTGTGTGCGTGTGCGGCTTGTTCGTGTGCGTGTGCGTGTGCCGTGCGCCGTGCGCGTGCGCGGCACGTCTGCTGCACGCCTGCACCTGCGCCTGCGCCTGCGCCTGCATGTGCGTGTGCGTGTGCGTGCGCGTGTGCGTGTGCGTGTGGGTGTGTGTGTGTGTGTGGTGTGTGTGGGTGGGTGGGTGTGTGTTGTGCGTGAGTTTGGTGTGTGTGTGTGTGTGCGTGGGTGGGTGTGCGTGCGTGAGTGCGCGTGAGTTCCCGCGTGTGCGCTTGTGCGCGCGCGCCTGCGTGCGTGCGGGCGGGCCGGCGGTGACGGGGACATGGCGAAATGACGGGAAATGGGTAGAAAATAAATGGAAAGTGTGGAAGATGGATGGAGAACTGATGGAAGATGTTTGGAAAATGGATGTGTGTGTGTGCAAGTAAGGAAATGTATGTGTGTTCATGCTGTTGTTGTCGCTGCTGCCTGCTTAGCCGTCCTTGCAAGAGCTGTGAAGCTGAGCCTCGCGATGCTGCTGCGGCCCGGTTGTGCGAAGCGGGCCGAACAGTTGTGTCAGATTACCACCTTGGTCCTTTGGAGCAAGGCTGTAGAGCGAAGCTCTGCCGCAACGTGCCGCCGACGCTGCGCATGGCGAGGATGTGTGAAAAGGAAAGTGATGAGTAGTGATGAGCATCACCCGCATCATGTGCTTCTGGCGGGTGTGTTTTTGGGCTTGTTTTTAGGTCCGGTTCTGGGTCTGCAGCCTTGGGCTTGCAAGTCTGTGGTCTTGCTTCGGTGATGCAGGTGATGCTGGTGATGCTGGTGATGCTGGGGATGTTGCTGGGAGCTGCCTTCCACACGGCGTCCTGCTGCAGCCTTGAAACACTAGAAAAACAAAATGCGAGCTTTTACTGCAAAAAACCGTTTGGTTTTGACATGCTTTCTCCGCGGCAACTGGCCCAGGCATGCGTGCGTGTGCGCGCAGGCGCGGGCGTGCGCGAGCGTGCGTGCTTGCGCGCATGCGTGCTTGCGTGCGTGCGTGCGTGTGCACGCGCGCGCCTGCGTGCGTCCTTGCGCCCGTGGGCCCGCCACGTGTGTGCGTGCGTGCGTGCGTGGGGTGCGTGGTGTGCGTGGGGTGCGTGCGTGCGTGTGTGGGTGGGTGGGTGGGTGGGTGGGTGGGCGGGCGGGTGGGTGTGTGTGTGGGGTGCGTGCGTGCGTGCGTGCGAGCGCGAGCGCGAGCGTGTGCGTGCGCGCGTGTGCGTGTGCGTGTGCGCGTGTTCGCGTGTGCGCGTGTGCGCGTGTGCGCGTGTGAGCGTGCGAGCGTGCGCGCACGTGCGCGCATGTGTGCATGCGCGCGTCCGCGCGTACGTGCGTGCGTGTGCGTGCGCGTGTGCGCGCGCGCGTGCGCGTGCGCGCGTGCGTGTGCTTGCGCGTGCGCGTGTGCGTGTGCGTGTGCCTGTGCGAGATGCGCGTTCGCGTGCGCGTGCGCGTGCGCTTGTGCGTGTGCGTGTGCGTGTGCATGCGTGTGCGCGTGCGCGTGCGTGCGAGCGCGCGCGCGCGTGGCCCGCCAGCGCGCGCCTGCGCGCCATCAGAAATGGCTTGGGGAAGATGGCCCCAATTGCGGGCGATGCAGGGCATGCAGGCCATGCGCGAAACACAGGGGCTTCCAAAAGCGTTGGTGACGCTGGCAAGGCAGGGTTGCTGCGTGTTTGCAGTGTTGTGAGCCTTCCCTCAACTCGCTCCAGTGGCCGCACGGGTGGTGATGACGCACTAAAGGCGCTGGGAATGCAGACGATGCGAGGGGTCGGCGGCAGTGACCGTCTCTCGGAAGGCAAAGCCTAGGCATGCGGTTTTTTGAGCGAGATTGCACGGCGAGGCCGGATTTACGTTGCTGGCGCACAACCGGCCGCGGCAGCATCGCGAGGCTCAGCTTCACAGCTCTTGCAAGGACGGCTAAGCAGGCAGCAGCGACAACAACAACATAAACATACATACATTCCCTTACTTGCACACATACACACATCCATTTTCCAAACATCTTGCATCAGTTTTCCATCCATCTTCCACATTTTCCATCTATTTTCTATCCATTTCCCGCAATTTCGCCATGTAGCCTTCACCGCCCGCCCGCCCGCAGACACGCAGGCACGCGCGCACAAGCACACACGCGGGCACGCGCGCTCACGCACGCACACCCACCCCGCACGCACCCACACACAGGCACACACACACACACCAGACTCACGCACAACGCACACCCACCCACACACCCACGCACGCACTCACGCGATCGGGGGCGCGCGCGCGTGTGCGCCCATACGCGCGCAGCGGGGGGGGGGGCCGCGCGGGGGGAGGGGGGGGGCGCGCGGGCATGCGGGCGCGGCTGCGGGTGCATGGGTGGGGGTGGGTTGGGTGGGCGGGTGGGTGGGGGTCAGTGGATGGGTGTGTGTGTGCGTTGTTGGTGTGTGTGTGTGTGCGCCATCTGCACCCATCCATCCACCCACCCATCCATCCCTCCCGCCCTCCCTCTTATCCGCCATCCACCGCGTCCATCCATTGCGAGGCTGGCGCGCGGAGCACGAAAATATCAAACCCCACATACATTTTGCCTGTGACCCAAACGCTACAGCACTTGCGCGGGCAATCAAGGGGGCTAAGCATCAGCCTTCTCAAACTCTTGCGACACCAGCGCATTCTTTACATAGGCCCGGACATGCTACATGCAAAGCCACTCCAGACTTTCTGGGTGCAGTCCGAACCTCCGAACCCTTTGAGGCGGTGGCCCCCCCACACAGCCGGCGGTGACCACTGAGACTCGAGCTCCTGAGCGCACAACAACCGCTAGGAGATTTGCGAGAGAGAGAGAGAGAGAGAGAGAGAGAACCAATCAAGAGTTTCAAAGGCGGGCCAAGAACGAGCCAATCAGACTTGAACTTTTCAACTGCGAATAAAGATCCTCGCGCAGGGCGGCACTCCTGCATTCGGACATGCGCAAATTAATCGTGGCTCTTATTTTGATTTGAAACAAACTATCCACAAAATGCATGCCAGTCAACTCTCATTCCATACAGGACCACCCCTCATCCCTCTTCAAAGCTGGACATTTTCTAGCAAGGCGTCGCATTCCCTCAAGGCGTCGAAATCTATTGCCGCTGTTAAAAGTTCTCGTGTGGAGTGTGATCATGGTAAAACCATGTATTCGCAATGTCCAATCTAGTGTCCACCTAGTTTCCTGTCAAAGCAGTCCACCCAGTGAGCGCTGACGCGTGTCCCTGTTGACTCGTCCATGCTCAAACCAAGCGGCGCAGCCTGAGGGGGTGCCTTTTCCAGTTGGATTGAACTCTTGGGCCTGAACACCCCGGACAGCGGTCACACGTGTTGACAGCAACCCCGGACAGCCCTCTTGGTGGGGACGTTCGCGAGCATTTGCGGGCACCCAACGCAAAGGAGCGCGAGTCATAGAGGCTGCCGCAGTCAGTAGCAGTGTCCAACGACGATGGGTTCTGCTTCTTCGGCGCCAAGCCCCAGCCACTGCAGGTCTCTGTCTGCCTGGCCAACCAGGAGACACCCCACAGCTGTGCGGTTTCCCTCTTTCACCTCGGTGGAGGCACTGCCCCCGTTTTTGCGCCCTTCTTCACGACGACCTTAAGCCTGTCCTCCACGTAGGCCTTCTGCAGAATCTTTACCTCGGCGCCGCCTGGCAACGAGCTTGGGCTCCTCTACCATACCGTGACCTTGGTCTCCTGCTCCTCACTGCCCTGCGGCCCACGGGCAAAAACCATGCCCTCTGTTGCACACTTTCATCCCCATTCGTCCGCTCAATCATTTAGGGCGTCTCGAGCATCTTCCAACCCTATTCAACGGAATGTATTCAGCACAGGTGTTGCTCAAAGGCAGACCCAGGAACGCACGAGCTCACGTGGGAGCATTGTGCAGGGGAAACTGTTCCGGTCGCCGAGCCACGCATGGCAAGGGCAGAACACGAGCAAACGTGACGAAGTGTTCTGCGTTGCACAAAAAGGAATGACCCAAAAGGTTGCTAGCACAGTTGCAACAAGCGCCTTGCGCGCAAAGAGCCCAACTGAGACGCGCGAGTGGCGACGGGTTCACGGGCGTGGCTGCTAGGGGGCGTCAATGTTCAGCGCGGCGACAGCAGATTTCTGCGCAGGAATGCCGCTGTGAGCACAGCAAAATAGCGAGCGAGACAAAATGGTTCTAAACACAAAAGAGCACCAACATGTGCGTGCGCACATGAGTACAACAAATACAAACAAACAAACAAATAAAAAAATGAACAGAAATTAAATATAAACAGAAATTAAATAAGTATATATAAATATATACACGTGTACATATGCATGTGTGTATATGTACGATTCCCCCCTTGTGGTTTTGGGTTGTTTAAGGCTTTCCGGCCGGCTCAGCGTAAAGGTGAGTGAGGCGGGTCCAGCCCAAACGACGCACGTGTTTGCAACTTCGCTCGCGCAACTTTCCGCTGACTTTCGGGCGGGGAACTTTACCAACTTGCGTTTTTACCTGTTTCAGGCGACGCCACAGCGCAAGTTGTGGGCTTTGGGTGGCCGACCTTCAACGCAGCTCATGGTTATTTCAGCTTGCGCGATCAACGCGCGAAGAGACCAAGCCTCAGGGAGCATTGCTTGTCGCACGCGTAGGGGCTTGTTGCAACAGACATCAACTCAGGATGTCAACCTCACATGTTTCTGTGGCTCAGAAAAAGACGCAGGGACACACGTGCGCCACGGGGCGCGGCCACAGTTAAAACGCCATCGAATGGAAGCGTTGGGCTCTTTTTTTGCGTTTGGATTTCACAGTTGCATCATCTTACTATGATACATCAGTATGTCTTTAAGTCACTGTCACGCAATGACTATGTATGCTTTTCAAAGTTCACCAAATAATGAGTTCATGCAAAACAAGCACTGTCTAGATTTTCATCTGTTTATCCGATGAATAGTTAGTTGTTTTTCGCTTGCAGTACTCGTGTCGGATTGAAAGTGCAGGTTGCAATGTGGGATTGATAACGCGTTATCGTTTCGCTCAGTTTTTGACTTTGCAAGTGATGGAAAGTCTTGTCAGCTAAATGCCAATAATTCCCTAGCGCTTATTCATACAATCTAGCATTCAATGGGTGATAAGCATATCCGTTTCATTCCAATACTGTTTTCATTTCTTCACATTGCTTACGCCGAAATATCTGACGTCTGTGCATAATGCCACTGGGTCATGGTTTAGATGTCATTTCTTGCAGAGCAGTTGTCCAAGCACATTATTCTCAAAATGCAATATCACCACATTTCCACATGCAATTGCGTAGCTCAGTCTGTCTTGCTCGTTCTGAAGCATGTGAGTCTCAGTTTGGGACTCACTCATTTCACTGACTACATCAGGTCGCTGTTTCTTTAAGACATATTCAAAGAACTAGTTGTCCAGTGACAATATGTTAAACTATCAATTTTCGCGCAACCATCGCAAAGGGTTCTTTGGGAAAAACGGTTGCCGGCTACACGGCTCACTTACGCAGCGTCACTGACACAGCCTGACCTACGCAGCCTATAGCTTACGCAGCGTGACTTAAGCAGCGTGACCTACGCAGCCTAGCTTACGCAGCGTGACTTAATCAGCGTGACTTACGCAGCCTAGCTTACACAGCGTGACTTACTCAAACTGACTTACGCAGCCGGCATGATTTACGCAGCCTGGCTTACGCAGCCTAGCTTACGCAGCCTGGGTCACGTAGCCATTTGCAACTTCGCCGACAAACCCCCTGCGGAGATTGCGCGCTGCGGCGCCGTGCGAGTTTGCAACTTCGTCGACTCGCCCTCGCTGTGGCGGCGTGCGAATGTTCTACGTCGCCGACAAACCCTCTGCGGAGATTGCGCGAACCCTCTGCGGAGATCGCTCTCGCTGCATGAGAATCGCAAGCTCTAAGTAAAAAAAGTAGTATGCGAAGTGCGCTCCCGGAGTTGCGGGGCTTGCAAATAAGGAGAGAAAGAAACAGAAAAAGGAAGAGAAAGATAAAGGGAAGGAGAAAAAGGGAAAGAGAAAAAGAGAGAGCGAGAGAGCGAAAGAGAAAGAGAAAAAGAACGAGAAAGAAAAAGAGAAAAAGAAAGGGGAAGAGAAAGATAAAGAGAAAAAGAAAAAGATAAAGAGAAAGAAACAAAAAATACAGAAAGAAAGAAAGAAAGAAAGAAAGAAAGAAAGAAAGAAAGAGAGAGAAAGAAAGAAAGAAAGAAAGAAAGAAAGAAAGAAAGAAAGAAAGAAAGAAAGAAAGAAAGAAAGAAAAAGAGAGAGAGCGAGAGAAAGCGAGAGAGAGAGAGACAGAGAGAGAAAGAGAAAGAGAGAGAAAGAGAGACAGAGAAAGAGAAAGAGAGAGCAAGAAAAAAGAAATATAAAGAGAAAGATAAACAGAAAGAGAAAGAAAGAGAGAGACAGAGAAAAAAGAGAGAGAGAGAGAAACAGAGGCAAACAAATACCGATACAGAGAAAGAGAAAGAAAGACAGACAGACAGACAGACAGACAGACAGACAGAAAGAAAGAAGGAAAAGAGAGAGAAGGAGAGAAAGAGAGAGCGAGAGAGAGAGAAAGAAAGAGAGGGAGAGAGAAAGAAAGAAAAAATGTAAAGAGAAAGAGAAAAAAACAAAGAGGAGAAAAAGAAAGAGAAAGAGAGAGAAAAATAAGAAAGATAAAGAGAGAGAGAGAGAGACACAAATATACAACAATTTCATCTGTCAAGCGCTCAGTGTTGAATGCGTGCGCTGGATTGCGCAGTTTCACGTTCGCCGCTTCGCATTTGCACATGGATCATGAGGTAATGCTGCAACGCGATTGCTGCGTGCTAGAAATGGGTTGCTTAGATGTTTGTTTGGCGTGTGTAAGCGCAGGTTGTAGAAATGTCAGTTGTCGAGTAGAGTAGTGCCTGGATACGCGTCACCTTTGTCACGCACGCTTTCGGGATAACCAGGGTTTAGTTTTTTAATGACCCTTATTTCTTCATCTTCAATTTTCATTGCAAAGTTCTTACATGGATTACACACTGCCTTTACCATTCACATTCAATATTAATTTATATGTGTTTCACCATTTGGTTCTTTACCACCATGAAGTAACTTGAGCCTGCTGAGTTGAAAGCATATTTGCTGTAACCTTCTCAAGTTCAGGCGCTCACGGGTAATCATCTTGTAAACCGTGAGGTCTTTAGGATATCCTATATCTACTTCGAATATATACCCATACTTCCCATTGCTATAACCTATAGCATCTTCTTTCGCAATGTCGGTATCCCACTTTACATGTTTGCATGACAGTTTTTGTGCAGTGCTTCAACCGTAAAAAATGGTTGAGTCAAACAAGTCGAATATAACTACGTTCAGTAGGCCCAAGCGCGAGACCTTCAGAGACGGACAGCCCTACAAGAGGGCTCTCCATCCAGGCTTCCACGGCCTTGTCCAGCAATCGGCCCAAGCGTTGAAAACACGCAGATCGATGGACGTGAATTTTGCCGCGACGGTTTCTTGACATGAAACACACCACAGAACATCAGAAACTTCATCAGGCGACTGTGAGGGAAGCGCGTCCCTGATCTTGTGCAGAGTGGCATTCGCTCGTCTCGCTCAACCACGCCTCCATCCATTGAGTGTTTTGCTGGTGGCTATCTTTCCGAAGCACAGCGAGACGAGACGAGAGCTGACGGTTGTGTTCTCGAAGCACGTTGGCACATACAAGGGACACTCCGTGGGGCTTGCTCTGTCGCAAGCCTGATGGATATCGCTACGACACTCCCACGCTCGGGATGTCGAAGATG